AAACTTCTTCATGACAAGCTTGACTTCATCATCGTCGCTTGAATCATCCATCGTTGATTCTTTGACGGCTTTTAATGCTATCCCTTTCCTTTGGTCATTCAAAGACGGGTTAAGAATAGTAGATTCATAGGTTTTTAGATTACCTCTTAGACCGTCGATGGTGACATTTGATGTGCCGATTGATTCATAGATGGCATCGACCTTGGATCGCCATTCGGATGTCAAGCTCCGTAGGATCTTTCGCACAAGATCCCTGCCGGTGTACGTCTTCTTTAATGCATGAAGATCGTTGACTATCTTGGAAAAACGGTCGAACATATCGTCGATCTTCTCGTGCTCCTTCATCCTGAACATCTCATACTCTTGGGTGAGGAAGTCGATCTTGGCTTCACGTACTTGGTCCGTTCCTTCGTACGTCACCTCGAGCTTATCCCACATCTCCTTGGTGGTTGAGCAGCAGGAGATCTTGCGGTAGTCATCGGGGTTGACCGCGCAGTAGAGCATGTTAATCGCTTTTGCGTAGTTCTCTACTTTCTTGATGTCTTCGGCATCAAATTCGTCTTTGATCTTGGGGAGGAACTTGTCTCCGACTTTCTTCATCGGCACATCTTCCCCGTTTTTGATAACTAACCATAATTGGAAGTTTGTGGAACGAATATAGATTCTCATTCGTTCTTTCCAATATGTATAATTGGTTCCATCAAAAAGAGGTGGCCGTGTGGTTGATTGCCCTTCACCTATTCCTGCATATAAATTTCTAGAAGAAGAACCCATGATCGCTTTACTCTCAAACGGTTAAGTTTGGACGCGAGTTAGGCTCTGATACCAATTGTTAGAATAAGTGACCAACGCTAGAGGGGGGGTGAATAGCGTTTGATCGTAGAAATTGCAGGAATAAAAAATTAAGAACGTGAAATGTAAAGAGCGTAGAAAGCGTAAAGGGAGCACACCAAGATTTATACTGGTTCACCACAACGTGTGGCTAATCCAGTCTCCCGAGAGACTCTCTCGAGCTACACTACTTCCGTTAAGCTTACGGGTGCTTAACAAACCGTTACAACCTGAGAACTCGAGTCCCACGAGCCTCAACAACCTTGCTTGGAGATACCGCACTCC